GTGGGGTGTGTGTTTGTGTGTGTGTGTAGCATGTGTGTGTCACATGAGAGACGCATGGATACGACAGGTCATATCCATGCTGCTCCGACATCAACCGTCGCCATACCGTGGGCGGGTTGCAAGGCGTGGGGGCGAACCTAAACGCGGCAGGGTACTGTTCGTCCGTATGCCAGTAAGGGCGAAAAAAGCAGATTTCGACGAGGACAGCCAGATATGCGAAAATAGCGCAAGACGACACCAAGGGTGGAGGTGGTGGGGGTCCATTTTATTAAGCAAACATGAGATATTTCACAACCAAGTGTGTGCGTAACATCACGAATCCAAAATACAAAAGGTATAGAGAGGAAGAAGGGAACGGGAGGAAGAAGGCGAAGAACAAGAAGGAGGAGGATATCATTTGGAAAAGGGAGATAATCAACAGATGTAATAGGCCGAGGACCAATGGTCGAAACAATTATTATTCCAATTACAAGTAGCAAGTAGCTGCGATCCGCCACGTCGTCATCCTGAGAAGACCGGGAAGGAGAGAGGGAAAGGGGAAGGAGAGAAACGGAAGGGCGGGGGCGGTGACAGGGAAAAAAAAGAAAAATCCTACTCCAGCTCTATCCTCCAGGTCCAAGGTGCTCTCGCCAGATTGTAGGAAGGGCATGGCAAGTCCCTGAAGGGCTTTTCTGCCCCATGCCATCTGGGGCGTCATCAGAGGGGGGGACATCTCCCATGGTCTTTGGAAGGTAGGGGGGTTGAGGGGGGGTGCGTGGGGGTATTTCGAGAGGAGGACGATGGATGGTCAGGGGGGTGGGGGACCTTCAGGGGGGGAGAGAGGGCGGGGCAGAGGGGACAGAGATCATCTTGAGGGGGAGGGGGGAGGGAATAGATGAAATAGAGGAAAGAGAGAAAAGATAAGAAGGCGAGAAAGGCTAAAAAAACGTGAGACGACGCTCCTGTAGCAGCCTTGGACTCCATAGTGCTCCTTGTCCGCTCCTATCCAGCGATCGCGCCCACCCAGCGAGCAGAGCCAAGGGCAAAGAATAGGCAGCAGCAGCCAGCAAGCAATAGAGCTCCGAAGATGATGGTGCAAGCAATGAGCAGCGCGAAGCTCCTAGATGAGGTATGCAGAAACACCCTTTCCGAGAGGCATGCGATGCACAGCAGTGCCGCTATGGCTACGTTGGGGAGCAGCGCAAAAAACAACAGCAAGCCCAAGTACGTATTGAGCGCCGGTGCGAATGAGCACTGGTGGAGCGGATGAGGCTCGACGGGGCACGTCGCGTCCGTCTGCATGGCATCCATGCCGCAAAGAATGCTACGCTAATCTCCCGCAAAGGTCGCATCGAACCGCGTTCCGCCCGCCGACAGTGCAGGTCATCACACGGTAAATTGATGAATAGCATCGCCTATCCTCAGTCCTAATATAGTAGCTATACAGCGCGCTTCTAATGAACGCCAGCTATCCTATCCAACCATCTAATGCATTAATCCGACGGGCGCCAAATGAAGGATCGTGCCACAAAAAAAGGGGAGAAAACGAAAAAAAGAAAAAAAGGAAAAAAAGACAGAGGAAAAAAAAGAAAAAACTTCAGCGCAGTTGCGCCGGCCAACCCCCATCACGCATCAGTCTAAGAGTGAGCTACTCTTAAGGCCTATACGCACCCTTATTCTCGAACCCGCTGTGAGTCATGGGAACCCGCTCCCCAGAGGACTGGAGCGTTATCGCGGGGGGGCCCTTCATTTATTCTCAGAAAGGAGCGGCGAAACAATCAACCTACGCTGTACATCCGCTCAGCTGGGTAATGCAAAAAAAGAAGAAGGAAAGAAGAACCAGAAAAAAAGAAAAAAGAAAAAAGACAAAAAAGAATGGGAGGCAAACAAAAGGAAAAAAAGGAAAAAAAGGGGGGGGGGGAATTATCAAAAAAAAGGGAAACAGGAAAAGAAGGAGAAGGAAAAGAAAAAAGAAAAAAGAAAAAAGAAAAAAGAAAAAGGAAGAAGAAAAAAGAAAAAAGAAAACAGAAAACAGAAAAAGGAGGGGGAGTTCCATTCCTGTAGTTCCAGCAGTGTTCCCTCACAGCCATATTCCCGCTCCCTGTGTCGTCCCTCCACCTGTATGCGTGTGTGTGTGTGTGTGTGTGTGTGTGTGTGTGTAGCATGTGTGTCACATGAGAGACGCATGAATACGACAGGTCATATCCATGCTGCTCCGACATCAACCGTCGGCATACCGTGGGCGGGTTGCAAGGCGCGGGGCCGAACCTAAACGCGGCAGGGTACTGTTCATCCGTATGCCAGTAAGGGCGAAAGAAAAAAAGAAAAAAGAAAACAGAAAACAGAAAAAGGAGGGGGAGTTCCATTCCTGTAGTTCCAGCAGTGTTCCCTCACAGCCATATTCCCGCTCCCTGTGTCGTCCCTCCACCTGTATGCGTGTGTGTGTGTGTGTGTGTGTGTGTGTGTGTGTGTGTGTGTGTGTGTGTCGTCCAACATATCCCATGGTGTACTCACCATGCACCCCGTGAAACCCGTGGTACACCCCGCCCTGCCGTAACCAAACTAACACTGCATGTTGCCGCTCTACTACTTTCACGAAGCTACCTCGTACATATGTGGTTATCCATGACCAGCTTTCCAAAAGGCCAAGCCTATAGGCTAGAGGGCATGGGGGAGGCGGGAGGGCAGACAACAGGCAAGCACACCAAGCAGGCACACCAAAAAGGATACCAAGACCAGGCAGAGAAAAAAGGCATCAAGGCATGCCAAAACCAAGCAAGCAAAAAGACATGAAGGCAAAAGAGCAGTGAGGTGAACCATAGGCTGGAGGGCACTGGGGAGGCGGGAGGCAAGACAACAAGAAAGCATGCCAAACAGACACCAGAAAAAAATATGAGTCCCAAAAGAATCAAAAGACCAAAAATAAATAAAATCTGATGATGATAAATTGTTTTGTCGGAGTTGCACCGACTCATCAGGAGGCTGAACCCTCGATAATCTGCGGAATCCCTGTATTGATGGTTTGGGTCATGAACCCTTTGACCCATGTTGAAGGCAGACTGTCCCCAAGCGGGACCTTGCAGCAGGCAGCAACTCGGCGAAGCACCAGGCATTGCTGCCAAAGCAGCTCAACTGCATATCACCAAAAAAAACGACTGCAGGATGCGGAAGGCACGTCATGCAGATGGGCAGTAAGGCAGCAGAGTAGCAAGGCAGCGCTGCCGCAGCAGCTTAACTGCATATCGCCAAAGACGACTGCAGGATGCGGAAGGCACGACATGCGGATCGGTGGCAAGGCAGCAGAGCATAGAGGGAGACATGCGAAGCAAGCGGGACGGTCAGCAAGGCAGCCGCAGAGCGCAGACAAGACAGTCTACACATCCAACACGGAGCAAAGCGGCACAGGACCTACTCACGTCACGAGTTAACCCCACAGGCTGTTGATTCCCACCACCCGCTGAGCCAGGGAATCACTCAGACGAACATCTGTCATAACCCGCAGAAGACACAGACATCCCGAACTGAGCAGCCCCCCTTAGAGTGTTGCAGGCACTTCGAACAAGGACTGACTGACTGTTTGGCACTGCTTGAGGGTGCTCATCTAGGGCCACTAAAAGTACTTCGAAAAAAACACAAGCAAGAAGGAACATTCATAAAAATGATTGTGTGTGTGTGTGTGTGTGTGTGTGTGTGTGTGTGTGTGTGTGTGTGTGTGTGTGTGTGTGTGTGTGAAAGTGTGTGAAAGTGTGTTTGTGTGTGTGTGTTTTGACTCTGGCCTGCTCACCTGGATATCTGAGTGAGCTGCATTTGTTACCTCTGGCTGCTGTCTTGCAGGTTGACAGATCAAGTGCAGTGTACACTGGGCATGGTCTCCGCTTCCACTGAGAATGGGAATTGATAGGATCAGTGTTGCCCTACAAGGACCAGTTGCTGCTGCTCGGTCTGCTAGTAACCCCGCTATGATAACAGGTTGGCCCAATTGGATAATCTTGGGCATTGTGACCATGACAATGGGCAGTTTTGTCCTGAACCATGGCAGGGCAAAACTGTGGCTTATATTCAGGTGTCCAGGTGAGTGCCCCTTGACTGTATGCTGAGTGCTAAGAGCGTTGTGTCGACCTGCTCCCTGGTCGACAACTGTGTGCTGAGTGCGGAGAGCGTTGTGTCCTGTACCATGGCATCCAGGTGAGTACCTCGACTCTATGCTTTCCACTGGTCCGTCGAACACAAGAGTCTTCTGCGGTCGAGTGCTCTCTGGAATCGGGGATTATTTATCCTGTCGGTGAATTTCCGCCGGCCGGTAGTATGCCATTCAATAGTCAACTTGGCGCTGTCCTAGTTTTGGTAGTTACCTTATTTGCTATCCTGTGGCTTATATCTATTGATCCTTCCATCCTTCCATCCATCCATCCATCCATCGGTCTCTCTATCAAATCATATCCATCTGTCTATTCGCTTGTGCATTTGCTATGCCCTTTCCTGAGGTTTTTATTAACTGAGATTAACATGTGTTTCATCAACTCAACTTCTCTTGTTCGGTCAGGTAAGCTTACATCAGGTCAACGTTAGGTCGCCTGGGGCAATGTACTGCTCCTTTAAGGGCCCGGCTTCATATCCATTCTGGAGAGCTTAAAGCCGAGGTAGTTGTGGTCTGGTTAAGCCGGGAAGCGGGCAGATCTGGTTGAATTAGAATGCCTAAGTTAGGTCTGGTTGGATTCATGAGTTTAAGAATAGTTAACTCGGGTTAGGTATAATGGCTGAATCAGGTCCCGTGCGGTTAAATGAAGATAGGTATGTTATTTTGGTGGCAGGCACAGTAAGATGTCCGTCGGAAATATGTTGGCTAGAATTTACAATCCAATCAAAGGTTGGAAATTCCTCTTGGTGAGTCAAGACTCTGAACGCAGATGCTGGATGGTTGTGTGCTCCTCCCGCTAGAAGAGTAGTGTAGGACTTTCAGAATTTGGTCTGTCATCATGTACTTATGGGTGCTTTTTCGGGACTGCATTTGTCACGGCCGCTATGGATCAGCCATCAACGGTTGTCCTGGGCCCGTCTTCCTTCTAGGAAGAATCAGAGCAATTCAACATTCACAAGAGCTTTCAGATGAGAGGAGATGGTGTCACCATACTAAACCCAACCACCACCCTCTCTCTCTCTCTCTCTCTCTCTCTCTCTCTCTCTCTCTCTCTCTCTCTCTCTCTCTCTCTCTCTC